GAATTTTACAGCATGACCAATAAACATCTCAGCGGTCCATATCTGGTTCCCTTTCCTCCTTTCTCAAGCTCTTTTTGAACATTTATGCTGATGGGAGCATTTTTTCCTCTATAGCAAATGCCTGATAAGAAGATTTGAGTAGCAACTGAACAGACACACATTGTTTTTATAATAAAGACAAACAGCATTTGCAAGAACTTTGGGCCCTTCAAAATAAGCCTTAATCCTTCGGATTCGGTCTCTGTGGTTTTCTTGTGGTTCGTCTGAAGGTTAACCTCAGCCAGTCTGTGTATACTGCATGACACATGGCCATCATCCACACATTTTGTCTTAGTGGGATCCGTGCGTTGAAATATAATTGCCTGCCGCTCACTTTTTGGCTCAGTTTTGGAGTCCACAGTTTGTTAAACAACTGGAGCATTTAAACCTATTTTTATCAATTCATAGTCCAGCAGTAGAGTAAACAGTAATTAGTAAGGGAGGATATAGTTTTGAAAAAAAGCTGATAACTTTAACAACAACCATTCCAAATAGGGAGCGTTAGTTTGTGCAGTTCAGTATGCTATTACATGTTTACAATATACTAACACGGTAATAGGCAATGTGTAAGGCTCTGCTATAGTGGTTTTCATTTCCTCAGCCGTGCATTTATGAAGTGTTGACACAGCTGTAAGTATAAGTCAAATACTGGTTTCGTTGGAGAAATGCTTACAGTATGTGTAGATTGTGAAACCGTCCTACAGCTGCTTACTTAAGTCAGCAAGTTCTGTTGTATTTGTTCTGTCGGAACCATGAGAAACAAACTAAGAGGCAACTGTATATATCTATCATTCTTGATGATCTGTTTCCTGGATGTATTACATTTCTCCTCTTTGGTTCTCAGACCCCATGCGCTCTGTACACATCACAGCCAAAGCCTCATTCAGGCTCCTATGGTCCAGTCGCACGCAAAGATCCAAGGAGGCACCGACAGCCGCAAGGACTGACCAGCTGGGTCATAGTGCCTGATATGTAGACAGCATTAATGACATGACTAATGCCAAGTCCAAACCGATATCTATTAGTAATATAAAGAGAGACAGAGAGAAAGAGTTTTTGTAGCTATTAAAGAAAAAAAACCAAATGCTGCCATTCCTGAGGGATTCTTACACTAGACATTCCTCACATGTTGGTCATATAATTAAAATCTTTTCAAAGATGCTCTAGTTTTACATTAGTTATCCATTTTCATCTGATCTACCCCAGTGCTATTAAAAGTACACCAAAATTCACATTTAAAATGGAATGATTTTTCTTTTTGACTCGATGAATATTTTAATAATTGAACCTTTTTGCACTTTAAAGAACCTTTCATGGATTTTAAACCAGCAATGCCAATTATGAACCTTTGTTTTTAAGAGTGTAGTTTAGTTGTCTAATACATCTGGCATTGTATATTACAAGTGTTGTTAGCAATTTGACAAATTGCTGTTGTTACTCTTTTGTAAGATGTGTTGGATCACCTATTGTCTACGAAATGCATAAATGTAAAAGTACATGTATATCTTTCTGAAAATATTGAGATACAGATTTAAAAACGACCTTATTGTGATTGTTTCTGTGGATATATTATTTTTATTCATTTATTTATTAACCTACACACTAAAGTAATTTTATTTTTAATATTATTTTTCAAATTTGTATGTATTTGAGGACTTTCTCTGGATAATAGATTGTTGGTCTTTTCCTTTTTCTTTCCTTTAATTTATATTTCCTTTAATTTACATGCCGTTTTAAAAGTTTGTAAATGTTTTTACAAAAGTTTTTTATGCTCATCAAGACTCATCATTTATTTGATGAAAAATACAGATAAAACAGTAACACTGTGAAATATGATTGCAATTTAAAATAAGCTTTTTTTCTAATTTTAATATAGGCTGCTTTAAAATATTATTTATTCCTGTGATGCAAAGTTGAATTTTCATCAGCTATTACTTCAGTCTTCATGATCCATATATATCAACGGTGCTAGTACTTATTTTTTTTATTTTACCTTGAGTGCATAAATAGCAAAAATACCAAAATAAATTATACTTTATTAATGTAAATAGTTGTTGTATGAATGTTTTCCGTAAATGCAAATACACTGTTCATTTTATTACTATGATTAATTAGAGTAGCATAATCTGGATACTGTAATGTAAAATGTTAGTGTTACCATAAATAGACTGATATTGGTGGCATTAAATTGGCTGCGCTAGGACCGCGCGGCTCCGGGAGAGGAATGTGCGCACTGAGGCTGGAGCTGAATGTGAGTGTGACAGGATGGCAAAGGAAAAGCGCCAGAGACCTGGAATTAAGATAGGGACCGTTATTCAAAGTCAGATTGCGACTGACACCACACGGACCCCGGAGCGCACCGGAGCCGCAGCGCGTCACGTTTGCTGATACGCGACTGGAACTTTTTTGACAAGTCAAATTGCATTCTTCTGTGAAATATTCCAGGAAAAAGTATGGAAAACAGCTGCTTTGAGGAATCGTAATTGCGGTGCGCTCAAAAGCACACAAGTAACAACTTCACTTTCCTTTAGAAAGGCGACAGAGTGACATTTCTGCGCGTCGCTCGTTTGCGCTCGTCACATGCGTAAAAGTTTTTTAAACTGCTCCTTCGCTTTTATTTGGGACATGGAGGAAAGAAAATTCATGATGGAAATATGACATGATGGATATATTTTACTGCATCAGTGACAGGAGTCCTGTCATGTTTTAACAGAAGTGAGAGTGTTGCAGTCTAACGTGGTGATCTATCCATTCATACTTGGAAAGGAGTAACTGTGTTTCTCAGCATTGATACTTAAAAGTTATTATCAGCCAGAAAAGCTTGTGCCCTGATGTCATGGGCTGACCTGGGACCGCGCAGCTGATAGTGTGCGGGACAATGTCGGGACCCTGCGTCCGCATCCCGTTTTGGGTTCGTGTGTTTCTCCTGCTGCTGCTTCACAGAGTCTCTGCGGGCTGTCCGGAGCTCCTTTCCAGCGGCTGCAGCTGCGCAGAGGACCGCGGTAAACCTCACACTGCACCCGGGGCGCGGAGGAAAGTGAGCTGCGTTGGGAAGGAGCTGACTGAAACGCCCGAAGTCAGTCTGCTTCCCAACAGGACCGTCTCTCTGTGAGTATTTAATTCATTTACTCTCTTAAGCAACACTTTGTCAATTATACAGCATACGTATTTCATGAAAACAACAAATTGGCTGATCAACTACAATGATAGCCTATTACCAAGTCAATATAATTACATTAAACTCATGTCTGTGTTACATTTGTGACCCAAATCTTCACATATGGTTTGTGCAGTAAATGAAACCTGAGTTTGTAGTGGGATCTGGGATGTATGTTGTTCTCCAAAATTCTCCAAAACACTAGTTTCAAGTAACTGATTTCAAACAAATCTTTGAAGATGCAGGACTTTAGCAAATGAGATTGCGTGATTGACTGATAGCACAATGATTTACAGTGATATGGCATTGATTAGGCAGTGTATGTCTAGCATCTACCGTAAAAGCAGCAATTGTGACAGCAACACTGGGCATAAAGATGTAAACTGGCATTACAAGACTGATAAAGACAAAGTTCTGACCCTTTATGGTGACTACAAGATCTTAATGGACAGCAGCTTTAAGCAGCTGTCAAAATGTAGCTCTATATGGGGAGTCCAGGGACAACTGTAACAGTTTTTACATTTCTCTTCACAACTCATTGATTAATACAAATATATGTCCATCTTTTGATATAAGAAACATTTACAGTAAAATTAATATTCTTACAATAAGAAAGACTTTTATTGGTTGGGGACAGGTGTAGCCCTGATTAAAATTGAATATAATCTAAAAACAAATGATTAAGCAACTGTACTGTCAAATAAGAGCACATCTAAGTGCAATAGAGTTGCTGTAATGCATTGATATTGCACTGATTCTTTAAAATGTCAATAATATTTGTTTAAAGCACAACTGAGTATTTGATGAAATAATTAAATTTTTAGTTCATTCATATGGTGTGTATTTCATAACTAGTTATACAGTTGGCCAAGCTCACAGCCATAATACAATATTTTATGGTAACTACTGTACCAAGAACAGAGCATCTGTTTTTATGCGCGGTTACAACTTTTGACCAACATCAACAATTAAAGTAAAGACATAGGTTGAGTTCAAAGGCATTGGAACATTAGACAAAGAAAGAAAAAAATGGCTTTGAATATCTCACAAAGAGGACGATCACACACTACTTAGACACATTGTTTGCATACTGTACTACCAGCTCATTGCTCCTTTACATGTATTTTCCTTCAGCAAAAGATGAGAGATGAGGTGAGAATTATGATCAGACTGAAGCACTGAAGAGGAGCTTGTTGCAGAACTCAACGCTGACGTATTGTCAAAGCCCTGTCATTTTACACATGCCTTTCATCCAAAAGCAAAGGAGATATGCTTCTTGTACGCATCCCTCCCACCCCATCCACACACACACACACACACACACACACAGACATGTACACACACACACACACACACACACGTACACACACACACACACACAAGCCTTCAGCTGACTTGGCCATGGTAAAGAAGAATAAAAAGAAGCACACCCCCCCCCATGTCTGTGCACTTTAATGGCCATGCGTCTCCTTCCTTTCTCAGTGCTGTAATATCCCAGTCTGTTTATAATGGACCATATTCGTGTTGTCTGTGCAGGAAGGAAGCTAAACCCACTCCAAAGTGTGGCTGTATCTAGTTATGACCTATTGTGTTATTACCTGTTAGTCTTGATGACTATTATAGTACTTGAGAGCAGGTCTGTGGGTGTTTGGGCACCTGTACGAAATACTTGTCGGACAAAATATGCACTTAATCCCGGTGTGAGACAAGGGAGATCAGTCTAGAGCTATGTGTATTTGTTTTGGTGAGGGGAGCGCTATTTTTCGTCTGTTTCTTGACATGGACGCCCGTGAAGCCGTCCAACGTCTTTGGTAGTATCCGGCTGAAAATTGGTGTGGAAAAGCAAGAATTAAACACTCTCCGTCTCAGAACTCCTGCCTTCCCGTGATGCCCGTCTGCTCTCCTTCCCAGCGGGAGCAGAATTCGCCTGCACATGGCTGTCGTAAAAACATAAACATTAAAAGCGCTCGAAAAGCCCAGGAGAGGAGTAGGCAGCCAGAGGATTGGTCCCCTCGGAGGAGGAGGCCCAGGGTAGCCAGGACTCCATTTAAAGAGGCTAGTTGTTCTGCTTAATAACCGCTCACATCTGCTCAACACATTGCCTCTGCGAAACCAGAGGAAATGGACTGAAAAAAAGATAGGAAGGGGGCAAAAGTAGGCTGGGTGGCAGACGACGGAGGCGGTTGGAGACAAGCTCAAATGAGCCTTTGCACCTCTTAACATCGTTTATTTGTTTTCCGAACATGTGGAAAGCACACCGTGTGGCACTTTTATGAGGCTTTGTGTGTTAGAAGTAGAGTATTCATAGTCTCCTGCCCCCTGAAGGGAAAATGAGCAACGGTTAATGAAAATGCTGCACTCAGCACTAGTTTAGTTGGGTGGTTTTCAGGGTAGTCGATCTGACTGTTTCTCAGGATTGTCTTTTGCCTTTCTAGATGCAGAATGTTGCATAAATGCTGTTGTTTTCGCGGACATTCCTTGGGGTTGTCCAGGCAGCATCCCAGGTGAACTCTGGGATGCATCATCTGTCTCTTTCCTGCTCATCTCTCCTGCTGCTCTCTAACTCACCAGGACAAAATGTGGAATGTTGGTATAAAATAGTTCTAGTAGAGGTGATCGGTGCCAAAGCCCTATGAGGAAATTCAGTTCACTCGGGAGCCATCTTGGCAACTTTATCTGCTTGAATGGGAATACCCCCAAAACTGCTTGTTAAGATTTCATATTTCAAATCAGAGATAAAATCTGACAGTAATGTTGTCATATATTTAGCAAATCACACAAAAAATGATTGAAATTCCGAAACTGGTTGCTCTATTTCTACTCTGTCATGAAAATTTTTCCTGTTGAGGACCCCGAGGCAATTCTATTGACTGATCTGTTAATGGGTATTTTATTCAGTGCCTAATTGCATGCATTTGCACTGATTTGTTGACTATATCAGATTTTTGGATGACCAGCTTACATTTTTTAAAATGTGACCCATATTCTGTATACACTTGGTGAAACAACTTAAGGTAGACATACTGACCTGGAAAAGCATACATCTGAGTTGATGTCATCTGCCATCGTCACTTTTTCAGTGACAATCGACTTGCATTGACGGGTGTATGTGAAAAGTCCACTTACATGGCAGAAGCAAATGCTCATATCCAATTCATATCAGATTTATTACCACATACGAATGAGGCCTGAATCCGATCTGAGAACATCGGTATCCATGTGTTTTTTTCCTGCTTACATGTTCGTGGGTCATATCTGATCTATGCCACATGGGAGGAAAAAAATGGGATTGGGTCACTTGAACCATGTAATGTAAATGCGGCCATAGAGTGCTGAAAGGAGGATGTATTTTTTGTAGGCCAAAACCTGGAAACAAGTTAGCATTTTAGCACTTATTTAGCACACTTTTAATTGTCTTGCAATATTGCGTTACTCCATAAAAAAGTAACTAATTGCGTTACTCAAACTCTCAGGAATTTTTTTTAAAATATAGACCGTAAGAGTTGTCAGACCAAAGCTTAATGGTGCTGACGTTGAAGTAATGTGACTATGGTGTAGTTAGTTTGTAGCCTTCTTTTAGCTTTTTACTTCTGGTGCTTGTGTTAAGGGTTCATCAAAGTCATGATGAACAAAACATGTAAGGTCACAGAGCTTATTTTCTGCAATAATCCAAAAGAAAAAAACCTTTTGGGTTTCTGTTAAGGGAACCAGGGTATACCAACAAAAATATATCATCACTGCAGCACCGTATTAGAAATACGACAGAGTAATTTCATGATGTACTGTATGTCATCTGAGCAATGCCAATCAAGACGGACTTGATTAAATGGTTTGCCCGACTTGTTTGCGACACCAGCATATTAAGCATTACGATTGATCTCATTCGTTTTTCTATGAGTTGTTTGCGTCTTTCACCTTATGCAGTCTCTGTCAGTACTGTGCCAGACAAAGAAAGGCAATTATGGATAGTGCAATCAGTGTTTTGGTAGTTTTTGAAGACACACAACAGAATATTCAGTACTGTATATCATATGCATTTTTGTTTCAGAGTAATGTGACACTGAGAAACTCATTGTTATAATCGTATTAGCTCTAACCATAAATAAGTGATCGTGTGTTCTGTGATCTGACCATCTCTAGCTAAACAGACAGGCCTTAAGAGGTCAGAATGTGATTTCTGGGGTCAGTCATTTTGGTAAAGGTTATCTCTTGGACCAGCTGCAGGCCTGCAACACAACATCTGGCATTCCTCAGCTGATTAGGTTAGATAAGCAGATGGCATCCCTTAATCTGATTGGTGGAGATGGAAAATGTGGGGATTGACCTCAATAATTACCCAAAATCGTATTCTCCTTATTGTTCATCTCATTTGCTAAAGTGAATAGTGGCGGTGCAGATTACACACATAAGCCCAAATCCTGCTTTAGCGATATACACTATCATTTAAATGTTTGGGATCAGTAATACTTTTAATGTTTTTTTAAAGAAGTGTTTTATGCTCATCCAGGCTGCATTTATTTGATCAAAAATACATTTCAATCATGACAACTCTTGGAACATTTTAGCATGGTGATGGATATGACAATGTTAATGTATTTGGTCTTGGCGGAACAGATCTGCTACGCTGCTGCTGTTGGTTATTGCTATAGTTGTAGATTATTGCTGCTGCTGCAAGAAAGTACAGGAACTTGCTACTGCCAATGCATACGGTGATACGGTGCCATGAGTATTCAAGACATACTGCTGCTGCACAAATAGCATATAAAATAACCCCGTAGCAGATCTATACAGGTGGAGCTGGGGAAGGTGGAGGGTTTCAGAGAACTCTGAAAGCGCACTGCAGGAATCTCAAGTGAATGCTAGCCAGCCATATAAATGCAAGGCAGTAAGCTCATTGGCTGCATATGCTGCATGAACCAATAAGCTTGTGCCAAGTCATTTAACTCTCTGAATATCATCAGTTACGTTAACACCCCGTCAGAATGCGCCATCTAGAGTTTCATGACTGAACTATGTATTAAAACAGTAATATTGTGAAATATAATTACAATTTAATATAACAGTTTACTATTTTAATATATTTTAAACTGTAATTTATTCCTGTGATCCAAAGCTGAATTTTCTTCAGCCATTACTTCAGTCTTCAGTGCCACTTAAATTCAGCAAGGATATGTTAAATTGATAAAAAGTGATAGTAATTACTTTAATTGTTTCAAAAGATTTCTATTTTGAATAAATGCTGCTCTTTTTAACTTTTTATTCATCAAAGAATCCTGAAAAAAGTGTCACAGGTTTAAAAAAAAAAAAAAAGTATCACAACTCTTTTCAACATTGATAATACATCAGCATATTACAATTCATTTGCAGAATTAATATAAAATTCAGTTTTGATCACAGTAATAAATTATATTTGAAAGTATAATTAAAATAGAAAACCATAATTTTAAATAGTAATAACAAATAATTTCTATAATTCACATAATTATTAGTAAATGAGACCCAGTGTTGACAACCTTTGAATACACTGTTTAGACTAGTCTTAAAAAGTTAGTCATCTATTTTTTTTTTTCTTTAAAACTGGTAATGTTTCTTTAAAGGTGGTCACTGGGAAGTAAGACTTCATAAGACTGATTGGTTAACTACTAGTTGGTCAGACTAGTTCTTAAGACACTGTCTTCACATAGAGGCTAAGTTTATGCAACTGGCACCAGGTGTCGTTTATGTAATGTGTTATATACTGAGACTGGATGATGATAATAGAATCTTGCAACATTATTGTTATCATGATCAGTTGCATCTACAGTCTAACTTCCAATACAATATATGCCATAACAGAGTAGACAAGTTTCACCTCATCCTCTGTGGCATGTGGGATGTGAACAGGAAGTGGGGACAGATCACGTGTCTCCCAAGCTCCAGCAAACAAGTTTGATAAATGTGCGCCATCTAGAGTTTCATGACTGAACTATGTATTAAAACAGTAATATTGTGAAATATAATTACAATTTAATATAACAGTTTACTATTTTAATATATTTTAAACTGTAATTTATTCCTGTGATCCAAAGCTGAATTTTCTTCAGCCATTACTTCAGTCTTCAGTGCCACTTAAATTCAGCAAGGATATGTTAAATTGATAAAAAGTGATAGTAATTACTTTAATTGTTTCAAAAGATTTCTATTTTGAATAAATGCTGCTCTTTTTAACTTTTTATTCATCAAAGAATCCTGAAAAACGTATCTGAGATTCCAAAAAAAATATTAAGCAGCACAACTGCTTCCAACATTGATCCTAAATCAGCATATTAGAAGGATTTCTGAAGGATCGTGTGACACTGAAGACTGGAGTAATGGCTGATGAAAATTCAGCTTTGCCACCACAGGAATAAATTAAATTTTAAAATACATTAAAATAAAACCATTATTTAAAATTTGTATAATATTTCACAATATTACTATTTTTATTGTATTTTTGCTCAAATAAATGCTTTGATGAGTATAAGACACTTCTTTAAAAAAAACATAAAAAATCTTACTGATACTTTTGAACTGTAGTATATTTCTTTTTGTTTCTACTTATCTTCTGATTTCTTTGTTCTTTTTTGGCCTTTTTGCCATTTTATTGACAGTCCGTATTATAGAGAGCACAACAAATGCTAATAAGAAGACGCAAGTGGTATCAGGACACAACATGAGCTGGATTGAAACCCACTGCTCAATATGTCAGAGCACGTGTGCTAACCGCTAGGCCACGGCTCTTTACTCCCCACGCTTCGCCTCTGCCCTTCTTTCAAATATATTCAAAACTGTAAATCACCCGAAGTGCTCTGTTAGGAGCAGGAGAGATGCGGTTTGTTCAGCGAGAGCAGTTCATTGGCTGCTTCTAGTTGTTTGTCAAGCAGCTCGGCAGAGGATTTGTGGCGACACCTCCGTATTAGAGTTTAACTGCTTTGACCTCTGCGGGTAATTGATCGCTCATTGTGCATGTGCGCGTTTGTGTTGTTTCATGCCGTTCCACACATCAGCCTTCTCCAGGTTTCCATTACATCCCAAATTACTCATAAATCCTCTCTGCATTAGCGTATACTGTTGGCATATACAAGTCATTTGGTGCTACTTAGTGGTATAAAGCCCAATATATTCACCATAAACGGCCATTTTTCCACTTTCTCCCCCTCTCTGCGCAAACGCGCCCTCTCTTTCCTCTCGCTCTCTTTCTCCACCCCTCTATCATGAGTTCATCCATACACAGTGAGTCTGAACCTAAATATTTAGCTGTCCTGGTAGGAAACTGCCATGCCTAAACGCTTTCCAGATGTGGGGGAGAGCAGTACGCCGTTTAGAGCTAATTATGTGCGGCTGCACAGTGACTGAGTTGATAGAGGGGGAGGGAGACCGAGAGAGAGAGAAAGAAGGGAGAGAGAGGAGGTAAAGAAGTGGAAAGTGTGAAATAGAGTTAGAGATCGTGGAAAGGACAGAGGACGAGAGAATGAGATGGAGTCGAGGGGGTGAAGGAGAGTAATTTTAGTTGAATGTTTGTTTATCTGTTGAGCAGGAATGAGATGGGAAAGAGTGAGAGAGTGTAATGAGAGTCGAGACAGTCTGGGTATTGCTTCATGAGAGTGCATCAGTATTTATCAGAGTCTATAAATGTGTGTGTTTATACAAACAAAAAGTTGGGAATAATTAAGATTTTTTTAATGTTCTTGAAAGATAAACATTAGTTTGATCAAAAACAGTAATATTGCGAATTATTATTGCAATTTTAAATAACTGTTTTCTATTATAATGTATTTTAAAATGCAATTTATTGCTGTGAATCAATCAAAACTGATTTTTCAGCAACATTACTTCAGTCTTCAGTGTCACATGACCCTTCAGAAATCATTCTGAAATACTTATGAATTATTATTGGTGCTCAGTAATTAATAATGGTTCTTACTTACCTTTTGAATGGATGTGTATCATACTTTCTACAAAAATATTAAGCAACACAACAGTTTTAAACATTGATAATACTAAGAAATGATTCTTGTGCGGCAAATCATCATGTTAGAATAATATATGATAACGTGTGTAATTTTTCAATCGTTAGTAAGGTAGTTGTTAAGTTTAGGTATGGGGTTGGATTAAGGGATCTAAAATATGGTCAGAATAAGGCATTCATTTGTGATTTGTAAGTATTAATAAACAATCAATGGGCCAGTAATATGCATGCCAGCAGGCAACTAGTTAATAGTGAGAATTGGTCCCTAAAATAAAGTGTTAGCAATAATCCAATAGTCTCAGCCTCAGACGTCACTCCCACAGACCATGTTCACTGAACATCTGATGCATATTGCACACTAAACTGAAAATGCTTTTGCTTTTCGTTAGTAAGGTAGTTGTTAAATTTAGGTATGGGGTTGGATTAAGGGATCTAAAATATGGTCAGAATAAGGCATTAATTTGTGATTTGTAAGTATTAATAAACAATCAATGGGCCAGTAATATGCATGCCAGCAGGCAACTAGTTAATAGTGAGAATTGGTCCCTAAAATAAAGTGTTAGCAATAATCCAATAGTCTCAGCCTCAGACGTCACTCCCACAGACCATGTTCACTGAACATCTGATGCATATTGCACACTAAACTGAAAATGCTTTTGCTTTTTATCAGCTGCACGTCCTCTCACATCTATAATGGAAGATCAAGTAAAGTACCTCACTGAAAAGATAATATACTGTATGCAGGTAAATGTGAAAGTAACATAGCAGCCATTAAGTCTTGTATTCGGATCACCCAAATTGCTGGTGGACACTAAAAAGTGGAGAGACGTACTCCAATGGGATGTGTAACTTAGTACTTACCATGTAAATAATCTGTGCTTATTTGTTTAAGAAGGGTTAAAATTATGACCAGACTATTATCTCAGACTAATTTCTTACGTGTTTCATTTAAATTGTTGTGCCATTATCTGA